GAGAGAGAGAGAGAGAGAGAGAGAGAGAGAGAGAGAGAGAGAGAGAGAGAGAGAGAGAGAGAGATGGTTGTCGTACATTTACTGGCCATCGATTGCCTTGTATCTGACAGTGGCCTTTCATAGGTAGCAGCATAGATATATTTATAAAGTGAGATAATGTGCTGCGAAAAGAGCAATCACATTTATACACAAGAGGGACCTCTCGTTCTTCCACGTCACGGGCAATATTTTCTCATCAAGGGATTGCGGTTTCCGTTCCGGGAAACGGAACGGGTTTTCTTTCACGGGAACTCGTTGGCATTAGGGCAGAGCGCTACTCCCCATGACATGGAGCATTTTCCTATTATAGAAAGTTGCGGTGGGCTTCTTTTAAGGAAAAAGCGGTGATTCGGTGTCAATGGGGCAACCACAGTAGTCCTGAATAACTATCCTGGGTCCTGACTGTGAATCAGCGAGACGCCAGAGCGTTTGATTAGACTGATCTATGTGTGGTTATTCCTGTTGCAGAAATGACGACAGAGAGCGTTTGTTAATGTAGTCGTTGTTTTTCCTTCCTTTTTGTTTTTCTATCTCGGTTGGTTTTCTTTCTTTTTCTTCGTTTTCTTTCTTTCTTTCTCTTTTTTACTTTTTTTTTTCTTTTTTCCTGATTCATTTGTCCATTCCTGTCTGCTTCTGAAAATGTCGATGACGTAGATTTATTATTTATTGTTTATTACATATAGTAGTAGCGTTACGACTTTTCTTGTGATTATTTCCTGCTTTTTCGTTCGGTTATTGCGATATTCTTTGGTCCAATCACAGGCCTCGGTTCCGATCCCGTCCACTCTGGCTCCGGGTAAGTGACGTGGCGATGTATTATTTGCCATGCCTGCTCTATCTGGCGCTTTCCGACAGTACCTGGCGAGACATCATCCAGCGCTGAACATCACGCCAGACTGTAAGAGAGCCAAACAATGTCCGACAATGTGCGACAGCCTCCTCTGACGCTGTCAAACAGTGTCTGAGACTGCTTGATACACTGCTCAACTCTGTCCGACTTTGCCTACCATTCTCCGTCACTCTTTGGGACTGTTTGGCACTGTTTGGCACTGTTTGGCACTGTTTGGCACTGTTTGGCACTGTTTGGCACTGTTTGGCACTGTTTGGGACTGTTTGGCACTCAGGACATAGTCGTTATTGGCACCTTGTCCGGAACACAGTCTGACACAGCTTGGGTCAAACACTGTCTGACACTGCTGGATGGACTGCCCAACTCTGCCCGACTTTGCCTGACATTCTCTGGCACTGTTTTGCCACTGTTTGCCACTGTTTGGCACTGTTTGGGACTGTTTGGCACTCGTGACGTAGTCACTTTTGGCACCTTGTCCGGAAACCAGTTTGACATAGAGGTCCGTGAGACAGCAGCCACTGGACAGTAATACCGACTGACCCGGAATCGCTCATTTGTGACAATGTGTGACAGTGTCCGACAATGCGCGACACCGTTTGGCACCGTCACCCTTGTCCGTTACTCTTAGCCTCTCTGCAGCTCCCCCATGCTCTCGAGATAAGTATGGACTACCTACTGCAGAGTGGTAGTTGACAAACGTAATGAGCAATTGGTTGGGAACGTAACGGCCCAAACAGCTCTCCGCGTACGGCGGTTTGATGATGATGTTGTCGCCCGAGCGCGGACAGATCAATTCACCGAGGTCACCGATTGGGAAATGTGTGATACACATAGACCATCTCTTTAACTTGCAGCAGGGTCGGGAAGCGATTTGCATGCGTGAAGAGCGTACGGTCGTTTGCTTAGTACGCTCCGTACGATCGTGTCCATACTGTCCATACGATCGTACGTTCGGCGCAAGCCTTCTATTCTGAAGGGTCCCCATGGCTGGGCTTCATCGTTGACCGCCACCCGAGCATGCGTGAGGTATTGCCATCCGTAATGCACAGTTCAAGGACACGTCAGCGCCTCTGCTGACGTGGCGTCAGCCTTGTTGTCGTCATCATCTTCTTCTCTTGTATCTGCTCTCATCCTTATCCTCTCAGCTTCCATTGTAGACCATCGCTCACCACCATCGTAGATAATTTTTGTCCTTCCTTTCTTTCTTCCTTTGAACAATTGCAGGACTCAAAATTTAAACACGTAGGCATCCACCATGTGACACGGTGGCATGAGCCTTTTCAGAATATCTTATCTAATCCTCATCATCATCTAGTCTTCCCCAATCTTTTCATTTCGCTCTTGTGCTGTCATATCATATGTCTCATCCATCCATCTTTGCCCACGTCATCCAAGCCCATCTTGCGCCGTCTTAGCATATTAGTATTGTCGATTCTCCACGACGTGGAACTCTTTATCTTCAGTAAATTTTATCCCGTCAGCACCTGCGTACCCTGTTTTCAGTAATCGTCGGCTCCTCCGTTGGCCTCCATCTTATCTTATCCGATCTTCTCGTGACATCTCATGTAATCATCTAATCTTTCCTCTCTTTCACCCGAAACGGCCGTGGGCCAGCCAATTCTCCCGTCTGTGGAGGACGTCCTCTCCGTACGATTCTTCTCCTCGTCCGCTTTCTCTTTCATCGCATTGCCAATCCCTGTCATTGGCTACAAGTGCTGGATTTGCTTCGACATGCATCAGCAGTCCTGTATAGACGTGTATAGGCTGTATTTATGGTGGGTGGGGGTGTGAGGAGTAACCATTCGATACGTCGATGCTTACGGTAGGGGGACGAGGATGGAGGGGGGGTGAAAGTAATGAATGCATCAGGACGATTTCTGCTTCTCTCCGAACTCTCCTTCCTGCTCTCCGTCGGCATTGAGCGCCCTC